TATATATATATATAAAAAGGCAAAATGTTTTTTACCAGGTTCCATCGTGGACGCCTTAATTCTCGAGGCTCCGTTCACAAATATCGGCGAGGTTGTTGTCGACTTTCCTCTGGCTAAGGTGAGACCAATTTGTGATAGTTTACAGCCTGTTTGCGTGTGCGTTCACACCAACAGTAATCGTGTCAAAATATGTCGTGCAGCTCTACACGTTCCTTCCGGGCTTTGAACTCTTCCTGTGGAACACTTTGGAGAAGAACAAGCTAATTTTTGCTAACGAAGACAAGTGAGTTGATGAATTCATTGACTGAATCGAAGTTTTGTTTATTGACACCCCAGTTGGAGTTTCACGTAAAACAAAACACAGAACAAATTATAAACATTGTACATTTAAATACAAGAAATGGTTTGTTTTATGTCCGTTGCTAGCTTAATGCTAGCACCCACTGAAAAAAAAATGTCTATCTGTTCAGTTTAAAGGTGCTGACCTGTCCGTTGCTCATTCTGCACGCGGAGGACGACGACATGGTTCCGTATAGCATGGGTCAAAAGGTAGAGCGCAGACCATTTTTTCATTCAAGCGGATATGATCAGCCCCCCTCCCTCTAATCCTTTGGATTTCCCTTCCAGCTGTACCAGATTTCATTGCGCACGCACAGGGAGCGCAGCAAAGAAGTTCCGTTGAAAATGATCTCCTACCCGGCGACTCGCGGATTCTCCCACAATGACATCTATTTGGATCCCGACCTGGCCACGTCGGTGGGGTGAGAACGAGACTTTTCGATGCAAGTGTCCCGGTATGAAAGGCGATGAAGGCAATATTCCTTTTGCTTCTCGTCACAGCGATTTTCTGCAGAAGCTACGAGGGTAGCGTGACCGTCCCACATCAGCACATGAAGGCTCATGGAAGGCACAGCTGCACTCTCCTCATTTTTTTCTGTACAGCAGTACAGTTTTGTTTTTTTTACTGTTATGCAATTGTGCTCAAAAGGTTACACACCCTGGCAGGATTTTTTTTAGATTCTGACCAAAACATTTATTTTATTTTTAATGAGATTTAAATTGCGCTTGAGAATGACACAATCAGATGATTATTATTATTACTTTTTTTTTTTTTAATAACTTGAATAAGTCTGCCCCAAATACTGTTCGACAGTATCTCTTGCCTTGAAGATATGCAGGTGCTACGTTCTTGGCCTGGAATGTTGAAATGTCATTTTTCAAAAGTCAAGGCAGGGCTGCGCAAATGTGCAATCGTAGCAAACAAACTGCTTTACTACAACAGATGAATGTGAGGTGAAGAAAAAAAAAAAAAGCCGGTAGTCGTTTTCAAACACCTGAGATTTTAATGTGAACACTGGTAGGAAAACACTGAAGGTAAAGAAGGAAATTGTGTGGTGAAGTTAGTAACTCAGGTTCTGTTTTTAGCCTAGCACCTCCCCCCTTGCGTGAGTGAATACATTTTGTAAATGCCTTGTGAAAAATGCTGTAACAGACACAAGAACAAGTAAATAAAGTTTGTTTTTTCGAAGGTAAAGCGACGTGAAGTTGTGACTGATTTTTTTGGGGGGGAGCGCGGTTGGAGCTGTTAGATAAGCGAACTAAACCGAGGCCGCCATTACATTTTCTTAAGCTCACGGGCAGTCTTCTCGAAGGCCTCTCGGGGCTCGCTGGGCGGGGGGATCTTGAGGTCGGTGGGCTCCACGCCCCACACCTCCGTGGCGTACTCGGCGATGGTTCGGTCGCTGGAGAACTTTCCCGTCGCAGCGATGTTCTTCACCACCATCTTGGTCCACTCTTTTGGATTCTGGAAATAAAACAGCAGTCAGGTATACAAAGCTTGCAACCCAAGCCCATTTGAGAGATCCAATGACTATGTAGACGACTGCATAGCCTTCTCCAGAGCCAGCATTTGTGTGCGTTAGTTTTGAGTGCTTAGCCTTTGAAAGCTGACAAAATTAATTTGAACAGTTCCAAATGATTCAATCATGCGGTCCACATTACCTGATAGAGTTTGCTGACTCTCTCTTGACATTTCAAGTACGCTTCAAAGTCGGCAAATACTTTGAATCTGGAAAGCAACGCGAGGATATTTGAATTGCAAAAAGATAAGGCGGGGTTTTTTTTTTTTTTTTTTTTTCTCTTCAAGGTGTCAATTTTTGTTTGCAACCTACCGGTCGTATTTGAAGAGCATTTCGGTCAAATCCTTGAATAAATCTGGATTTTTGGGGCTGAAGAAGCCACTCGTGATCTGGTCCATGACTTGTTTCAGCTCCGGGATCTTGTTGTAGTAAGACATGGCGTCATATCTGAAAAAAAAAACGTCAAATATCAAATCAAGTCAGAAATGAAGAATCTTTTTTGTGTGTGTGTGTGTGTGTGGGGGGGGGGGGGTCTACCCGTTTTTGTCCATCTCGGCCACGTCTTGCACTCTCATGCCGAATATGAAGAGGTTGTCCACGCCGGCCTCCTCGGCCATCTC